GGGTGAACTGGGAAAGAGTGCTGGGGTGTCTCCTGAGGCTGGGGGACTGGGATCCCTGGGTTCAGACAGCTCTTCTGTGTCCCTTTTCCTCCCCTAATCCGGATTCCACCCCTACCTGCTGCCATCTGGGTCTGGGAGTAAGCAGGGTGCTATATTAGTGTCAGTGACTGAAAGCAACCACAAACATCTATCATCTCACAGTTTCTCCGGGGCAGGAATTAGGAAGCAGCATAGCCTGGTTGGTCTGGCTCAGGGTTTCTCATGAGGTGCCACAGGAGCTGAAGGATCCCCTTCCAAGATGGTGCACTCACGTGGCAGGAGGCCCCAGGTCCTTGCCACGTAAGCTTCTCCATAGGACGCTTAAGCGTCCACACATGGTAGCTGGCCGCCCCCTGAGTGAGCGGTGGCCCAAGAGAGAGAACAAGGAGGAAGCCCGAATGCCTTCACCACCTGGTCTCAGGAAAAGCAGGCGGTAACCTCCCCCGTGTTCTGCTGTTAAAAGCAAGCTCTCAATCCGGCCTAAGCTCAAGGAGAGGGGATTAGGCTTCCGCTAACCACTGCAAGCCACACGGCTTCCTCAGTCTGGGGTATCAGGTCTTTACCTTTGAGCGGCCACTCTCCCGCAGGATCCCACGGGCAGCCCCCAGAGAGAGCTTCCTCCCTAGGCCTGGTCCTATCCCCCGGCTTCCTCCAAACCCCTCATTGCATCTTAAGGAAGAAGGCCAGGGTGGGCCTCCTCGGGGGCTGAACTGTGTCCCATTTGTGGCAGAGAGGAGGGCAGGGTGTGGGTAGGGCAGAGGCCAAGGAGACAGCAGGTCCCACAGCTGCCTCTGGGGCTCACTGGGCTGGAGGGCCCAGGGTTACCGGAGGAAAAATTGTTTCTTCCTAGGTGCCCTTTCCACGATGGTGACTAGAGTGTCCTTAACATTCCCCTCCCCCCTTCTACCCCCCTCCAAGCGTTCCTCAGGCAGCCAGAAGGCCTTGGTAATCACAGAAGCTTTGCCAGTGCCCTCAGCCTCAGCCTGGCCCACGTACCCGCTCAGGGCACCACCCTGCCCCAAGCCCCACCCGTGGTCTGAGATTCCCCAGGAGGGATGGCAACAGATGACCTCAGCCCAAGAATCCTGCCCCTGTGTCCCAATGAGGGTACAGACTGAGCCCCTTGGGTCTCTAGTATTACGGGGCTGACAACAAGGAGAGCCGTCTTGATCACCACACCACTGTAATCATTAGGCAGAGGTGGGGGGCCGTGGGGAAGGGGACTGGCCTTGTTCAAGGGACAGGAGACGATTGGCTGTCCCCCAAAGATGGCAGGTCCCAGAGGGAGGAGTAAGACCAAGGCCAGAAACACCTTCTCCCCAAATCCCAGAACAAAAACATCTGGCTCTGATTTGTGAGTCTCTCGCCTCATAGGAAAGGTGGAGAACTCAGCCCCAGAGCTGGCCCTTCTGCAGTGGGAGGGCATCTCTGTCGGGGAGGGGGCCCCAGAGCAGCTCCTGATCCTCTGGGGCGTGGACTCTGGGACCCACACACATGGGAGTGCTCAAACGGGGAGCCCTTCTGTCTTTCCAGGGGACTGCTGGCTGCTGGCTGCCATCGGCTCCCTTACAGTGTACCCCAAACTGCTGTACCGCGTGGTGCCCAGGGGGCAGAGCTTCAAGAAAAACTATGCTGGCATCTTCCATTTTCAGGTGAAGGACGATTTGAAAGCCAGAGTTGATTTGTGTAGGACGGGTGTGTGTGTGTGTGTGTGTGTGTGTGTGTGTGTGTGAGAGAGAGAGAGAGAGAAAGAATTAGTACATGCTTTGAAGTTGACCTTTTTTCTTTCCTTTTTGAAAAAAACAACATTTATTGGGGTGGATTTTTGTCTAATTATCAGAGAAATATCCTCTCACTAAAGAAATTGTGTAAGCTAATTTTTTTTTTTTTTTTGGCGGTGCGCGGGCCTCTCACTATTGTGGCCTCTCCCGTTGCGGACACGCAGGCCCAGCGGCCATGGCTCAATGGCCCAGCCGCTCCGCGGCATGTGGGATCTTCCCGGACTGGGGCACGAACCCGTGTCCCCTGCATCGGCAGGCGGACTCCCAACCACTGCGCCACCAGGGAAGCCCTAAGCTAATTTTTTAAAGCCCCCAAAGGAAATAGCTGTTATCAGTTTGTGATTCATTCTCCTCCTCCTCTTCCTCCTGCTTCTCTCTCTCTCTGTCTCTGTCTTTCTCTCGGTAGATACACTCACATATGTATATGCACGTATACGTGTGTGTATGTGCATGTGCGCATATGACATTGGGAGTGTCTGTCATGTAATTTTTGTAATCTGCTCTTCAAATTATTCAACATGTGGACAAATTCCTCATGTCATAAAAATATTTCCGAAAGTCACAAGAGTTTTTAAGACCTCAGAAGTCCTAAAAGTCCAGCCAAGGTCAAAAGGTGGGTGGGTCCCTCTGGAGGCCATGGCAGAACCTGGAGGTGAGGCTGGGGGGAGGTTTAGGCCTTTCACTGCCTTTCTTTGGCGGCGGCGGCGGCGGAGGGGTGGGGGGCCCTCTGTTACTGGTGTGTCACTGAACCTGACACCAGGAGGCGCTCGTGTAACAGAGTCTTCATGCCAGAAGGGAGGGGGGATGTGCGCGCGCGCGCGTGTGCGCGCATGTATGTGTGTCTGAGCTCGGAAGGGGGCCTTGGGCATACAGATGCCCCACGCCCCGCCGAGACCCACCTTGCCGCCCGCAGATTTGGCAATTTGGGCAGTGGGTGGACGTGGTGGTGGATGACCGGCTGCCCACAAAGAATGGCAAGCTGGTGTTCGTGCATTCAGCCGAGCGCACCGAGTTCTGGAGTGCCCTACTGGAGAAGGCGTACGCCAAGTGAGTGCCCCAGCCTGGCGATTTGCCTGGCCTCCAAGCTTGCTCTGACAGTTGGCAGTGACGGGGGGTAGGGGAGCAACTGGAATCAGGGGAAGAGGCAGGGGGACGGCAGGGCATCCCTCCCTTCCCTCACCTCACCCTCTGAGGTCCAAGCTCACAACTGCATCCCAGAGCCCCAGACGGCGCCCTCTCCGTGCCCACAGGCTGAACGGATCCTATGAAGCCCTGTCTGGGGGCAACACGGTGGAGGGCTTTGAGGACTTCACGGGGGGCGTGACCCAGAGCCTCCAACTCCAGAAGCCCCCTCCGAACCTGCTGAGGATGCTTAGAAAGGCCATAGAGCGATCCTCCCTCATGGGGTGCTCCATCGAAGTAAGCCATGCTTGGTCCTGCTTCAGGGCCTTTGCACCTGCTGTTGCTTTCACCTAGAAAGTTCTTTCTCCAAATACCTGCATAACTAGCTCCTTCTCATTCATTTTTTAGTTCAAATGGCCCTTGCTCAGGCTAGCCTTCCCTGCTTCCCATTCTAAATTAGCCGCTCCTGCCCCCCATTTCCTCTCTGCTTTGTTTTGATTTTCTCCCCAACATTTATCATGATCAGAAACTGTCTTACTTATCGACGTGTATATTCACAACCAATCTTCTCCCGACAGTTTTCATATTCCATGAAGACAGTGACTTTATTTTTCTCATTCAGTGCTGGGTCCTGGGGCTTAAGATGGTACTCGGCATGCAATAGAGATCCAACACATATTTCTTCAAATAGATAAACGAACCCAGAGTGCTACTGTAAGACCCAGCAATTGTATTCTTGGGCATGTATCCCAGAGAAATGAAGACTTATGTCCACACAAAAGCCTGTACCCAAGTGTTCAAAGCAGCTCTATTCATAATAACCAGAACCTGGAAACAACTTAGATGTCTTTCAAAGGGTGAATAGTTTAACAGGTGCGTACATACCAGGGGATACTACTCAGCAATAAGAAGAGATGAACTATTGACACACAAAACAACTTGGATGAATCTCAAGGAAATTATGCTGCACGGAGAAAGCCAATCCCACAAGATTCCACACTGTATGATTCCATTTATACGACAGTCCTGAAATGACAAAATTTTTTAAAATGGAGAAAAGATTAGGAGTTGTCAGAGGTTAGGGAAGAGGGTCATAAGAGGTGGATGTCGGTTATAAAAGGGCAACACGAGGGATGCTACTGGTGATGGGAATGTTCTATATTGTGTTGATGGTGGTGGATACAGAAAACTACACATATGCTAACAATGCATAAAACATACATAAATGAGTACTAGTAAAAGTGGAGGCATCTGTATAAGACTGAGGAATTGTGTCAAACATCTTCGTCCTGGTTTTGATATTGTGCTATAGGGAATTCCCTGGCAGTCCAGTGGTTAGGACTCTGCGCTTCCACTGCAGGGGGCAAGGGTTCGATCCCTCGTTGGGAATCTAAGATCTTGCATGCTGCGTGACACGGCCAAAAAAGAAAACACATGATATTGTGCTATAGTTTTGCAAGATGTTACCACTGGGGGATACTGGATATGGGGTGCACGTATCTCTCTGTATTATTTCTTAAAATTGCATGTGAGGGAGTTCCCTGGTGGTCCAGTGGGTAAGACTCCCACTGAAGACTCCCAATGCAGGGGCCCGGGCTCAACCCCTGGTCCCCTAGATCCTGCCTGCTGCAACTAAAAGATTCCCCATGCCGCAACTGAAAAAAAACAAAACAAAACAAAAAACCAAAGAAACCTGCGTGTGAGTCTACAATCATTTGAAAATACAAAGTTTAATTAAAAAAAAAAAAGAACCCAGAGAGTTGTCACCTCACTTCTGGTGCCCCGTCCCTCTGACCAGACCTTGAGTTCCTTTCCTTCCTCTCTGTTCTGTGTAGATCAACAGCCAAAGTGACTTGGAGTCATTGACGGAAAGGATGCTGGTGAAAGGACATGCTTACTCAGTGACCGGCCTTCAGGATGTGAGTCTGACCACTACACCCCACCCAGAGGGACAGGAGAAGGAGAACTTCTGTGACCCTCTACACTCCTAACCTTTGCCCACAACCCACCCAGGTCCTGTACCGCGGCAGGATGGAAACACTGATTCGGGTCCGGAATCCCTGGGGCCGGATTGAGTGGAATGGAGCCTGGAGTGACAAGTAGGTGCCCCGACCAGCCCTCTGGGGGGAGGGGCAGAGCACAGAGCAGGCCCACGAGCAAGGCCATGCCACACAGGGACCGACTGGCATCCAGTCACCTGCGCCCAGTGTGAGCCCTTCCCCTCTAGATTCTCCATCTAACCAGGACGCCCAGTAGGCAGACATTCAGGGGTAAGGGCTTCCCTCGGGGAGGACCGAGGTGCCTCCCGACCCCCTGCCCCTCCACTGCCTGTCTCTGCTCCAGTGCCAAGGAGTGGGAAGAGGTGGCCCCAGACGTCCAGAGGCAGCTGCTGCACAGGAAGGAGGACGGAGAGTTCTGGTCAGCGCCGCTTGAGAAGGACCACCTTCTGTCCCCACACCCAGTCCCTTCATCTCTCCTGCCACTGTCCCACCTGTGTCTTGGATGGGGAGGCTCTGGGGGGGCACCTACAGGTGTGGGTGTGCTGCTGATGGGCTCTGGCCCATCTAGTTGCGGCAAGTGGGGGGCTACTCTTCATTGCGGTGCGTGGGCTTCTCCTTGGGTGACTTCTCTTGTTGTGGAGCATGGGCTCTAGGCGCGCGGGCTTCTTGCCGCTCCCCTCCACCACAGGATGTCCTACCGAGATTTCCTGGACAGCTTCACCCTCCTGGAAATCTGCAACCTGATACCCGACACGCTTTGTGGGGACTACAAGAGGTGTTGGCACACCACCTTCTACGAGGGCAGCTGGAGGAGGGGCAGCACTGCAGGGGGCTGCCGGAGCTACATTGGTGGGCGAGGGGACTCAGGGGAGCAGGGGGCAAGGGCTGGGCCACTGACTCACCGCACACCTGGGCCCCGTTGAGGAGGGGGGCACTTGGCTGGGAAGCCCGTCCACCCTGGGAAGGGCAGGGCCATCCTGACCTGCTTCCTCCACAGACACATTCTGGACCAACCCACAGTTTAAGATCTCTCTCCCCGAGGAGGATGATGCCCCAGAGGACGACGAAGCCGTCTGCACCTGCCTGGTGGCCCTGATGCAGAAGAACTGGAGGCGGGCACGGCCCCAGGGAGCCCAGCTGCAGACCATCGGCTTTGTCATCTACTCCGTGCGTGCCCAGCTGTTCCCCCGGCCACTCTTGCTCTCCCCATGGCCTCACCCCTGGGACCACTGCCCACCCCACCCCACCACCTGCCCCGGGACCAGGACACCCTCCAACTGCCTCCACACCCCTGTCTCTTTCCTTTTTCCTTTTTTTTTAATTGGAATATAGTTGATTTACAAGGTTTATCAGTTGTACTTATACATATATCCAGTTTTTTTTAAGGAATTTTGCCTTTTTTAAAAAAAAGTAATTTATTTATTTATTTATAGCTGTGTTGGCTCTTCGTTTCTGTGCGAGGGCTTTCTCTAGTTGCGGCGAGCGGGGGCCACTCTTCATCGCGGTGCGCGGGCCTCTCACTATCGCGGCTTCTCTGTTGCAGAGCACAGGCTCCAGACGCGCAGGCTCAGTAATTGTGGCTCACGGGGCTAGTTGCTCTGCGGCATGTGGGATCTTCCCAGACCAGGGCTCGAACCCGTGTCCCCTGCATTGGCAGGCAGATTCTCAACCACTGCGCCACCAGGGAAGCCCTC